CTTGCTTTTCCATTCTTTTGGTGTTTTTTTTTTTTTTTTTTTTTTTTGAGATATAGTCTCGCTTTGTTGCCCCTGGTAGAGTACTGTGGCTTCATAGCTCACAGCAACTTCAGACTTTTAGACTCAAGTGATTCTCTTGCCTCAGCCTCTCAAGTAGCTGGAACTATAGGCATGAGCCATTGTACCCAGCCCTGAGGTGTACCTTTATAGGAGTGGGTCTAGAGAAAGTGAGGACTTGACCACAGCCACTTGATCTTCTACAAGTGAGATCCGTTGGGGCTACAGGTACACTGCTGTTATTAGGCTTCAAAGATGAACTTCAAGGCTGACAGGGTGTTGCTCTCTTGAAGCTTGAGTACTGGGCAGAAGGCAGAGTGCAGTCTGTTACAGCATCTGCTCTTGATTGTCAGAGAAGCAGTCGATAGAGTGTTAATTCTGCCACTACCTAAGCTCTCAAAGAGTTTGTCAAACTTGAGGTTGTATGTACTTCTGAAGTTCAGTAGTTGAGGTCAGTAAGTGGCATGTGGGATCTGATAAGGTTTGACATCAACATTCCCTAGGGGAGGGAGGAGTTCATTACAAGTTCTCACACATGAGATCTGACATCAGATTTCTGAAGGGAGTGGTAAATTCATTCCAAAACACCAAACTATGTTAAGTGTTTGGGACCATTTCAAAGTTACATTGACACAGTGTAGCATAGAGGAACATCTGGGGATTTGGAATCAAGCAATTAAGGGTTTGAATTCAGATTCTTTGGAAGATTGCTTAAGCTCTTGGCTTTTCTTTGTTAAAATAAATAAATAAATTATAGGCTCAGCGCCTGTCGCTCAAATGGCTAAGGCACCAGCCACATACAACTAAGGAGGCAGGTTCGAATCCAGCCCTGGCCCACCAAACAACGACGACAGCTGCAACCAAAAAATAGCCGGGCATTGTGGCAGGCGCCTGTGGTCCCAGCTACTTGGGAGGCTGAGGCAAGAGACTCACTTGAGCCTAGGAGTTGGAAGTTGCTGTGAGCTGTGATGCCATGGCACTCTACCCAGGGGGACGGACAGCTTGAGGCTGTCTCAAAGAAAAAAAATAATACATTTCTCATATGAATATACATGGTACAGGGAAGTCTGGGAAAAAAACTTACTATTCACTGCACTGGTTGCTTAATACACAGCAGCCATTATGGAAACCCGTCGATTGTTTTGGAATACATTTAAGAGGTGAACTTGACTAGTAACTACTTGGAAATGGCAGGGAAAGGAAAGGAAATATCCTAGGATTACTGCCAGGCATCTGCCTACATTAATAGGGTAGAAGAACCAATATAGTAAATGCTGAAAGAGGAGAGAGGGAAGGAGATAATGGGTTTGATTTGGGGTGTGTTAAGTTTGGGTTTGAGATGCTAGTGAAATTTCTACGAGAGTTGTGGTTACCTTTTACTGAATGCTGACCTGAGAATAATTGCTTTTCCATTCTTTTGGTTTTTAGCACCAGTGCTTACCATAAGAGAATAAGAAAATGATTACTCATAATAATTTTACACATAAGGAAACTGAGTCTCAGAACAGATCAATGTGCATGGAGATACCAAGAAGGCAGATATGTCTGGAGACTGAGAATTGCAGATACAGGTTCAGGAACAGAATGAGCCTGGAAGATTAAAGACAGGAAAGTTGGTTCCTTGAAAAGATAAAATTGGCAAATCTTTGGCGAGATTAACAGAAAAGTTGGTTCTTTGGGGGTGGTGCCTGTGACTCAAAGGAGTAGGGCACTGGCCCCATATACCGGAGGTGATGGGTTCAAACCCAACCCCGGCCAAAAACTACAAAAAAATAAAAGAAAGAAAAAGAAAAGTTGGTTCTTCAAAAAGATAAACAAAATCAATAAACCTTTGGTCAGATTAACAGAAAGAGCCCAGAGGTATAGAGGTACTAATAGAAAAACAAAGGCAAGGCATGAAGACTGAGACTAGAACAGATCTGATGACAGATCCTAAGGATTGCCACTGCTCAGAGAGTTAACGGAGAAAGGAAGCCCATACAAAGGCAAGTGAAATGGCAGAGGCATTCAGATGGCTAAGGCAATAGGAAATTGATTTCTCTTTTTTTGTTGTTCTTGTTTTTAAAAGATGAGGTCTTGGCCTGCCATTGTGGCTTATACTTGTAATATTAGCACTCTGGCTCAGGAGTTCAAGGCCAGTCTGAGCAAGAGCAAGACTCTGTCTCTACTAAAAATAGAAAAAAAACTAGCCCGGTGTTGTGGTGGGCACCTGTAGTCCCAGCTACTTGGGATGCTGAGGCAAGAGGATCACTTGAATCCAAGTTTGAGGTTGCTGTGAACTATGAAGCCACGACACTCTACCCAGAATGACAGAGACTCTTGTCTCAAAAAGAAAAATAATAACTAACGAACTAAATAAATAAAAGACGAAGTCTCTGTATGTACCTTGAGCAGTACCATCTTCATAGTTCACCGCAGCCTTGAACCCCTAGGCTCAAGTGATATTCCTGTCTCAGCCTCCTGAGTAACTGAGACCACAGACACCCACCCGCTTGCCCAGTCTATTTTACTATTTTTTGTAGAGGTGGGGTTTGGCTCTGTTGCCCTGGTTAGTCTTGAACTCTTGGCCTCAAGCAGTCCATCGTCCTCAGAATGTCATGACCCTTCAAGCCTAGCCAAGAATTACTTTTTAAAGAGTGTAGTGTAGCCAGACAGGGTGGCTCAGGCCTATAATCTTAATACTCTGGGAGGCCACACTGGGTGGACTGCCTGAGCTCACAGAGTTGAGACCAGCCTGAGCAAGAGTTGAGACACCAGCTCTAAAAATAGCCGGGTGTTGTGATGAGTGCCTGTAGTCCCAGCTATGGAAGGCTGGGGCAAAACAATCACTTGACCAAGAGTTTAAAGTTGCTGTGAGCTATGACACTACAGCACTCTACCCAAGGTGACAAAGTAAGACCTGTCTCAAAAAAAA